TATAAGAGCCTTCAAGAGAAATTCCCCCATGTCTATAAGCAGAAAATGATAGTTGCATATTCAAAAAATAAGAACTTAAATGATAATATTGTTCATAGTAAACTAAAAACAATCAGTACAGATACTATACTTCTCGCCCATCGGGCGAGTTATTTTTTCTAATTTCAGATCAGAATAAGAACACCCAATATCAAGACCCTTAATCCTAATTTCTAAATAAAGTGTCTGCTCCACCCTAGGCCTGTACATTTGGGAGAATCAAACCCTCCCTTCCACGAAATCTAAAAATAGTCGGTTTGTGTGCAGTGACAGTCAAGCGGATGTTGATATTGAATTACTGGTCTTTGTCCTGTCTTTGGGGAAATGTATTGGGGTTACGTCCTTTGAACTTTTTAGATTCGTCAAGTCGCTATTTCTTTTGTTGGTGCGTTCCTATTTGAACTGTTTGTTGGGCAGCTATAACGGGTGTTTTTCATTATGAAATACTTACTCACTTGTGGTTGATATACTTCATCATGTGAAAAGTTCATTATCTGCTACCAACGTTTCGTCAAAATGTGGTTTTGGATTTCGGGTTTCGATTTGCGGTTTGGATCGTTAGTAGGCTTACTCGATTTGTTTCTAGTACTTGGTTTATTTATGATATCAATTAGGCATCCTACAATCAGAAAAGTTTATCTTTCTTGGAACACCACACAATTCCAGAAAAGTTTATCTTTCTTGTAACACAAAACCATTCCAGACAAGTTTAGCTTTCTTTTAGCTTTCTTGTTTCACAAAACCATCCCAAAAATGTTTAGCTTTTTTTAGCTTTCTTGCTTAACAAAACCGTCCCAGAAAAGATTAGCTTTCTTGTTTAACAAAACCATCTGAGAACAGTTAAGCTTTCTTGTTAAACGTAAAACCATCCCAGAACAATTTAGCTTTCTTGCATCACAAAACCCCCTTAGAAAGGTTTAGCTTTCTTAAATCACAAAACACTTCTGGCTTCATTCCCATAATAATTCTACAGAAATACAACCAGAAAAGGGCAATTTGGTGTTCAAATCAATTAGGTTTTCTTTCAACCCTGGTCATAATTAAACAGGAGTTACTAATCATTATCAACATTTTAAGTAAATATATCTTCAAAATTAAGAAATCATTTATTTAATACTATGTTTGACTACTGTATTAATCTATATTGTTAGTTTTTCATGACACTTTATACACCGTGACAAATTCTATGCGAAGATATGATTGCAGTGTATAGTTCTATGGCAGTGTATATTGGCATACTGGTTTCCTTTTCCTGAAATTTTATAATCATTACTGAAAGAATGTCATCCTTTTCTGCTCACTTGATCCTACAATTAAGATGCTTGACTTTTAAACTGAAAATATTTCGTATTTTATTGGGTTATTATAGTTTATAATTGTTTGAAAATAATTCAAATTCACACCACTAACCTTGAATTTAACATTTGGAATTCTGGGTTTACAATCTGAGAACAGTCAAATGTTTTGTCAGATTATCTTTGATACCGTCCAATAGATCTAGGTTAGAAACAGTTGGTTAGATGTTAAGTTAATATCTGCTTTCAGCTAACTGTTACAGGTTACATCTAGGTTAGAAACAGTTGGTTAGATGTTAAGTCAATATCTGCTTTCAGCTAACTGTTACAGGTTACAACAAATGGAATTCTAAACCTAAAATGAAATACAAGAAATAAATTGTATTGACATCTTATTGTAAAGACGTCTTCTGGCCTTTGTATGAATATCAGGAAATGAAAAGCTTCAATTTCCACTTCTCCAACAATGTCGAAAATGAAAACCCAACACAGTTTATGTCACATTGTTTTCTACCTTAGTGGAAAAATGAAATGAAGTTTCATGTCCCTCTGTATAATCAATATAAGAGCACACTTACAATTTCTAATTGATGACCTATGTTCCATATTCTGTGTATCTACTGTATTTTCTCATTACTTGAAGAATCAGCTGTATCTTCTTCGTATATTTTTTGTTTCGTTCCATTTGAGTTGATTTGGAAAGAAAATATTTGGATTGTGTACTTACAATTGAAATTAAGCATCCAACTCCCCTGCTTATTAATGACTAATAAAGTCATGCAGTGGATAATAAGGGAAATGTGAATATTTGATATCAAATAAAAATAAAATAAATCTACCCCCAAATACTCAATTGGTTCGGTTGAAGTTTATTAACAAAAGAACATAATACTCAACTGGTCTAGAGAAATTGTCAGAAATGAAAATATTAGGATTTGAATTAAAATATATTCAACTTAATCATTAACACCTACCCCAAAAGTTTCTTATTTTTTATTTCAAATTTTTGCTGATATCCTTAATGGCAGTTTGAACATCCTGTGCGGTTAAGGGAAAAGATTTGAATTTGTTGAAACAATAGAATAGGTGAAAAGTATTCACCTGTAGCCCACCTATAGTATTAACGATCGAATATTAGAGATTAGTACTCAGAAAGCCTGTTTGATTCTCATGGAGACCGATTCTGCTATATTCTGGATTGAAATACTAAACTCTGATTGGTTTGCTTAAATATTTTGAATTAAAACTTAATACTAGGTTTGATATTTGAAGCAACCAAACAGACTCTGAAATGAATAGTGAACTTTGTTCAGATTAGGGTGTTGAAGTCACATTTTGTACCATTTACAAACCAACTATGTATGGACTCACATAATGGATTTTTCTCTCTCCAAAACACTTGTTTAATTTATTATTCACACAGACCCGTCTATCATACCAATATATTTTGAACCCCAATTTAATGTGATGAAAACGACCAACATTGTCCATTTACAACTGAAGATGTGTAATAAAGAAAATGTTTAGGCTGACTGAATGTAATAAAGTAAAGTTTCATTAACTTAGGACGATTTTAATTTTTGCATATGGAAATATGTTGTAAGGTCAAAGTGAATGACCTGATACAAAAGGTAAAATCACATGAATCTATTCATTGGAACTGTAAAGTCAGAAGGTGCTTCGGCTTCTATAAAACTAACATCTTCTGATCATGGATGACAACAGTATAAGATTTGAACGACATATAGAAGCGAGGAGCACATATAACAAAAACACAAGACAATATTATGGAATATAACACACTTCTTTAATAAGGTTGTGTTATATTCCATAATATTGTCTTGTGTTTTTGTTATATGACAACAGTATAGACTCAATATTTTATGTGGGCCTGTAAAAATCAGTTGTCGTGCATAGATGTTTTGTTCATGCCTATATCATAGGTAACGAGTAATGAAGAGAATGCAAGCGAGGCGGTGTTTAAGTTAACATAGACAACCATGTGCGGAGATCTTGATCAGTTTGTAGATTTTATTCGATCAATAACTATAATCGTTAATCTGCAGATTAAGTTTAATCTCATTATTATCCACTGGGTTTTACTGAGACAAGGTTAATCATATATTTTCGTCTGGAAACATGGTATGACTTGTTTTTGTTAGTTTTGTGAATGTGTTTCTCGCTTTTTGTGAATATCATGAATTTGTTTTCTGATAAAAAGAACATACTTGGGTTTAAGGTAAGGTTTTTAGCAGGGACAAAATTGATAGATGAAGTCCACAAGTTATCTGTAAAATGTAAAGTTTATTGTGAATTCAGGGTTGACGAACTTAATCACGTAACCTTAGGCTCAGATGTAATGCTATGTAAATGCGAAATTTTCAGATATCTCTGGTATAAAAGTGAGAAAAATGAATATTTGATAATTTCAGTAAGATTGAATTGGCATGGCTACCTCTACTCAAACCACCTTCAGGCCCTTTTATGGAAAGGTCCCTGTATTAAAGATCAGACCAGTATCAGCAAAACTGTCCACAGCCGCAGCAACCTTGGTTCGGATCAACAAGAAGGCAAACGTCCCCGATATCACACAGACGACTGAGTATTTAGATGACGTCAGGACCGTCAGACCAGTTAATCTTTATAATCCTAATATGAAGAAAGTTTTGGGAGAACTATACACTGATATTAGATACTTACATCAGTTAAAACAAAATGTTGGTAAGAACTACACTATGCAATTCTTTAATTGGCATTTAGCAATTGTACGATATATAGACATAGCTTTATGGAATAACAATCACTGGTTAAAGTGGTATGCAAAGTTTCAACGTGTTTCTCCAGGCTGTGTCTCTATACACGTTACTACCCCTAGTCAGGTCATACTCATTCTTCTGAAACACATTTCAATCTTAGTGAGTTGATACATCCAGTTCCACAATGCCCACCATTCTGTCGACAATGGTTATAAAAAGACATCTGGTATTGGATAAGGCAAAAGGTATCAACCTGCCTCTCAAGTTTAATCAAATCGTGGGCATTATTTCCAGGAACACTGGTATTTGGTTTGGATATCAGATTTGTTGCCTTTTCTCAAGTCTTGTTACCACATTTACAGCACGCAATCGAAAACAATGAACATCACTCTGCCTAACCCATACAAGAATTTTATACATGATGGGTAAGATTAACGCTAACCTTTTTATTTAAGATAAGGAGAGTAAGGTTATAACAGATTTAAATATTGGTACATTGGCAGAAACTGGTGTAAGATTTCTTCAGAATCGTACTGAATTCTGGGACAACCTTGGTCCTCTTCCACCAGTAGTCATGAAGAAAAAGCCAAAATACCAAAGCAATTTTAAAGGGAGCATTGCTTCTATAAACACCGAGATGTCGCGGAGTACACGGAGATCTAATACGTCACTATACAGTCGCGAGAAGAAGAAAGAAGAAAAAGCACCCGAATCAGTTATTCAGTTTGAATTTAAAACATATCAACCTTCTCCAAGACTACCACCTCCCCCAATACGAGCTGATCGCCTAACTGTTAAAATCGAAGATAATTCAAAGATATCTTCTGATAATCAATTGTCCCTCAATGGTGATGACTTAGCTAATGCCCAGAAAGAACGAAATATCCAAGTTGAACAATATTTCAAAAAAGCTCTTCAAGATATTCAAAAGGGTAGGCATACACATACATATGGTGAATAGACAAACTGCTCTGTGAAGATTTATTTGAAACCATCTCGATGAATCTATGCGCTGATTGTAATTACAATCCAAATCACAATCACCATTCAAAAGAACAAATTTCAGCAAACTGTGTATGACATGATATGGGTATGATAATCCCATTACAAGACTGGATCATTCAAGACCTCGTTCATTCTGACGTACATTCAAGACAATCCGGATTCAATCATGCCCAAGAATACTGACTTTCTGAAGCTCATTTTCATATTTCCAGATTTTGAGAAAGAATATTTTGAATCGTGTGAAGAACGAATTGAAGAATGTTTACAATGTTTGAAGAATATTCACAGTGATATATTAGAGAAGAAGGTTGAATATGAAGTCAAACTGTACAATATCAAGGGTGATCTAATGTTTAAATTAGGCTATTGTGAGAAAGCTGTTGATAATTACCAAAAGGCTTTAGAAGGCTCAGGAACATTGTAAGATATATTTAATTGAAATTTTCCAAATTGCATGTTTTTTTTATCCTTTGACTTGCATGCACAAACGAAATTTAGGCTAGCTAATGGTGAGTTGTTCGCATGACCAATCAATTTGGTGTTTATTTAAATTATCCTTTTAATGCAAAGGAAACTATCATGGCTAAAAGTTTGATACATACGTGTCTGATTTTACTTTCAGAAGAGAATTGCGGTTATATATATTAGGTAATATAAGTAGAGTTTTTACTCATAAAGGAGAATACAGTAAATCATTAGAAATGTAGGTATCTTTATGTTTTTAAAAATCTTTTGACACCGCGACAATCTGAACTTTTCACCATTTCTATATTTGGCTTCATTTTCATATTGGAATAATAATACCTAGAAAATAAAATTAAACAAGTTGTTTTCATGTCCAACTATTTTCCATTAAATTTACTGTTTTCCATTAAGTTAATTTAAAATCTCAATAACTCACTATCCAGCAAATGGAAATCTTTCTCAACATTGGGAATTCCTCTAAATCTTATTGCAACCTGCGACCAATTTCAAAGGACAGACCCTGTTCAACCGCCTTGTTTATTTTTTAGGTTGACTGAGCAATCCAGGATAACTCGATCTGATGGTGAAGTAGCAATGGTTTTCTTAAATCTTGGACAATGTTTCCTATCTTTGAAACAATATGAAAGCGCCAATGATTGTGGAACTAAGTCACTTGCAGCTTCAAAAAGATGTAAAAGTCTGAAATATCAAATCGAATCCTTGGTTCTTTTAGCCATTGCCTTGGGTAAGTATAATGACTCTCGTGGAGAAAGGTATTGTTTTGTCTAAATTAGTTCAATAAAGTTTTGGTCCACAAAACAGTTAACGCTTTAAGAATCTAAATCTAAAGTGATAATTTTCTTGGCGATAGCATCATATTATGTAGACCAAAATATTATTTATAGGACTCCTCAAGTTCTTATGATGTCAAAATATAAGTATTTTATGTATAATAATTATGTTTTTCAGCTCGTCTTAATAAACCACAGCATGCTTTGAAGAAATTATCTCGAGCTAAATCAACCTTGAATAAAATAGGTGTGTATAATTTAGATTCCAAAATCCATATTTGTACGCGAGTGCCCTGTGCGCACTCTATTCTTAAGATGGCATCACTGTTGTAAAAAAACGAACTTACATTACAAAAGTCGTACTAAAACAATACAGTTTTATATTTATTTGGGATTGGGAATGAGGAAGACTATTTTTTGTTTATTATTATTTCAGGCACCAGATTCTTACATAACCTGATACAATCCGCAGAGACCATGGTCAATGCCATCAACAAATACAACCACCAATCTTCTCAATACAGAAAGCAGAAAGGATCAGCAATGTTTCCACAAATTACATCCCATAATGACGCCTCCTCTTTCAAAACCAAAGATTCTTAAGATTATAAAAGACACTTTTGTCTCCTTTCCGAAGCCAAGGGGCTTTCCTGTTGGCTCAAAATCTACTTGTGATTACTATTAATACTTGTTAGTCAAAATATCATTTTAGACGGACTTTTACAGACTTTTCACTTTTCGACCAATTTCGATTTCAGAGGACTCAACTGTTTGGAAGATTTCGATACTAAGATTTTGTAATAAGCTTGATAGTGATGGTATTTTGGGCTATAAATGAAACTGAGTTTTACGTCCTACTTGTCTGCACCTGGCTGGAATAATACTTAGCCTACTCTCTTTGGATTTGACTAGGAATCATTATGTACATCGTCTTAGCACACGGTTATGGAGACATTCGAAAGATAAGAAACATATCCTCGTCAGCCCCTCCAATCTTCATAAATATTAAGTTGGGGGTGGAGAGGAGGGGGGGGGGGGGTATTGGGTGGAGAGAATGGGGGGTGGGGGGCGGTGGTGGTCGAAAAATACGAAAGCATTACTAAATGCAACTCTCCACTCATATATATTGTATACTGTACTTAAAAATACAAAAATATAAAAAAGCTTTCTTATCGTTTATTTTTCATATACAAATATATCACAGAAAAAAGCCCAAATATGATCAGCAAAAACTGACACCATGTGTTTGGGTTTCAAAGTCCATTCTACTATTTATTTAGGCCTATACGATACGTGTATCATGTCGTTTTGCGATACATCTATTCATCGATATATTGTGCCAGCACAACAATTGACCAAGGCTTTTTCTGTACAGTAATGTTCCTTTTCGCTACAGAGAGCTGACCTTGCAAAAATGGGTGTTCTCCGTTGTAAGAATGTAAAAGCGTGGTGTGCCGTGAACAATTTTACGCGACACTCTATGATGTTAAAACGGAAGTAACGTTTCCTGTGTAAACATTTTTTTTTAAGTATAGCAAAACTTCTTATTATAATACAGACACTGATGCATCTCAGTGTTTTCCAGTTGCATGTCAGATTACATGTGACTGATCAGATTATAAATTGCCCATCTGTTGCAGACATGACACTGCATTAGAAGATGGTGTTGTGACTCGTATGCCTTTTCCGTCTTTGGCTTTAATTAATCTATCCACTTAATAAGTTATTTCAAACCATTCAAAGGCAACACGACCATTCTAATTATTGCAGAATTCTCTTATCTATGCCAAATATTGGAGTCTGTAAAGTCAGTACGGTACACTATAATAAGACTATATTTCTTTTCACCTTATAATCCACCAACAAGTTGATTGAGACAATTTTGTCTGTTGCTGACTGATATAAGTGAGCAAATCCTTTCAGTACAACACATAAAAATCAATTTTAAAACTTTGTTGTGTTTCATATAAATTGTCTTGAAAATGTCCACATAATTTTGTGACAAAAAAGCGTTTTATCTTTATGACTCTGTTTTATTATGAAAAAAATCAATTTATACTGACTATTTGACTGTGCCTTTGAAGAGTACAAATTTCCTTTCTGATTTATTTTTAAACTGAATTTGAATATCAACTACAAAATTGAAATAATAATAAAAATATAACAGGGTCATATATATCACTTTGAAATTTGTGACATTTTTGATTGAAATTCCTGGGAGTAAAGTGTCTTTCTATTTTAAAGTAAATAAACAAAATCAAACTTCGATTTACAGACAATTGTGCAAAAATTAAAATTGATCAATTTCCCTTGCAGAATTTAATGATCAGGAATTTGAACAGGGTATATTTAACCATGGCAACAGCTACAGTAAACAGTAATCTGGTGTTCGTTTATGGTACATTGAAAAGAGGACAACCTAATTATCCTCAGCTCAATCCAGAAAATGGAGTCTCTACATTTAAAGGTTCAGCAAAAACAATTAATAAATACCCATTGGTGATTGGTTCCAAATACAACATACCATTCCTCTTACTGAAGCCAGACAGTGGCCATGTATGTATAATTTGTCAATTACACGTAGTATAGCTTCAATAAACTAAAGATGCAATTGTTAACGACACATCAAATTCTAACATCAAGTGTTTAGTACAGTATTTATTAAATCCATCTTTTTGATTAAAGAGTTTTAAAATGATGACAGTGTAAACTTCCTTAGTTTGTTTTTGTACCGATATAAGAAAGCTACAAATCAGATTTTAGTTTTGGAAAGTGTTATGGATTACTGAAATTGGAAACATATCAGCTTTTGAGACAAATGTTTAGATAACAAGGCTCATAGCCATTAACTGTTAAAACTTGCCTTGTTGTAATTTAATATGTTTACCATGTTTTTGTGATATTGTAGAATGTAGAAGGAGAAGTATATGAAGTAGATAAGAAAATGTTAGATCATTGTGATGATTTTGAAGGACATCCTAACTTTTACCAGAGACTAGAAACACCAGTCCAATTAATTAAAAATGAAAATGATGAATTATTGACTAAACCGAATACTTTTAATTGTTGGTGTTATTTTCTCAAGACATTTAAACCAGTGTTATTAGATTTACCATATCTAGAAAGTTATTGTAGCAGTAAAGGCCAACCATATGTAGAAAGGTACGCAAGAGATCAACAAGCTGGTTATTTAGTGCAAAATGATGTATCTTAAACACATTAGTTTCGTGTATCCCTGTGTATCCACACAATAGATTATATTAGATTGGTAATAATCAACCTTTGAAATTGCAGACTAGGACATAGACACTTTGATATTGTTAATAATTTAATGCCAAAGAGGCAGACATGTTCTCAAGAAGGTTATGAGAAAGGATTAATATTTTGATGTGTTGAAATTCACAATATTTGTTTTTTACAAAGACACATTTTGTTTTCATACAAAACAAATAACAATTTTGAGAAGGAATGTTGAAGTATGTATAAAACCTATTTTTTTCTATTATAGTAGTAATTTTTTTCATTACAGTGAAAGTATTGAAACCATTTTTGAATTGAATCAAATCATATAATTATTAAGGTAACACTTATTATTGCCTTTATTCTATTTTTATAAGCTCTCCAATGAGCTACCTCATGTGATTTTATAATAAATAATTGATTTTTATAGTAAATCTTTTCTGCTTGACTGCTGTTCCCCTTGAGCAAAAGGTCCCAGACTGCCAATCGAACAAGTCCCTGAAATTGTTGTAGAGTTAAACTAAGAGATATTCTGAAAAGATTAGCATATTCTGTCTCAGCATTGACATCTGCTACGGTACTTATTTTTATGGAGCTCAAATTTACAACAAAAATCTTTATGGGATGCTCATGAGATGCTCTCCCTAACCGGCCCAAGGTTCAATACCCAAATAGGTCAAGATAATACCTTCAGATTTTTCAACCTGGTTATTTCCTTGTCAGTGATGCACTTAAAAAGTGCTGACAAGGAAAAGGCATCCACACGGCACCATACTTTAGTCCACATTGTGCAGAAAAGTAGGACATAAAAACTCAAATCATTTTATTTAATGTCTGGACACAATTACACACCAGCAGATTCAATGGGCCTATAAATATTTTGCCTAAAATTGTGTGGTTTTTACTAATCCAACAATTTAACCCCAGAACTAATAAGAGAGAATAGCAGAATGAAACAATTAGGAGACGATAGTTTAAGATATTTTAATGTTTCAGTAGAGTTCTTATTTACAGATAGTGAGATTGTACAATTAGTGCTAAAATAAGGCAGAATTAATAAGAAATATAAATTAACATATAGACAATAGCACTTTCTATTGTTGTTAACTCTTGGTACCTCTGTTTAATAAATTTAAGTGTGCTTATTTTTCACAAATACAATGTTGATAAAATACAATGCAACTCTGTGTTGTCTAAAAATTCTTATTTCCATTGTCAATTTAACATGTCAATATATCAGGCTTGTTTCCAGTATTGCAAACAGAAAAAATAACAAGGATCTTCATACCAAATGATTAAAACTATTTCTGAGGTCTAAGAAGAAGCTGTTAATACCTAAGCATAAAAGCATGGGATCGACATTTTCTGGAAGATTAACTGAGTAATATAGTCAACTTGATACTTGCCTCTGTTGAAAAAAGTGTTGAATGAAATATATCTATGAATTAAATTTGATTCCAGTTGTATCTTAATTAAAAATATCTTCCTGACAAACAAAACCCTGTAAACCAACCCAATATAACAGAGCTTTAACAAATAATGAAAAAAAATTGAGTTGAGAATTCAGATATAGTACATCAACAAATGATAATTCTCTTTTTCATTAAGGAATTTGTTAGAAAGGTTTTCTTAATAGTTTACTTTTGTCAGTTCAAAGCTTGAGAAGGCATGACACAAAGTCTGAAATAATAATAACAGTTCAAATGACATGCACTTTGTACTATACTTGATTAAAAATTTACTTTTGATTTTCATTACATAAACAGTGAAGAAATTACTCATTTGGCACAAAATTCACCGTGTATAGATTAATACATCAAGGCTACTATCCTTGTATCCATATGCTGTGGGTTGGAATCCTCAAGTTAATAACAATTTTCATCTAATGACCAGTGCTTCAGAAAGTCTGCCTGGTGTCAGTTTCAACCCCTATCACCTAATAAATGGCTTTGAGCCATTCTAGATAAAAAATTTAGACCTTAATTTCGACAAAAATGCAACATTTTCAGTGCTATATTTTACTTGTAGACAGTGACTTAAATTAAGGCATTCATTATCAATATAATTTATTTATTTCCGACGACATGATAGTTTAAGTCTATGCACGCCCTTATTAATCAGGTAAATTTTGAAGAAAACAATCTTGACACTGATACTGCTATAAAAATATATAGTAGATTCTCATTTGATTCACCCATAGCACTGTCCATCACTTGTACAATAATATAACCTTGTATTCTCTTTATCACACTTTCAATAACAATCAGTTTTGTAAAGCTGAGAATTTATTTCCTAATGTTAGATTTAATTTCCCTCTTTGATTTGGGTTTTCTATAGATTCACTGCTGAAATAAAAAATATAAGCGTAATTATTATAACAAAGAATACCTGATAGTTGAAAATCAAAAGAAACAATAAGTGAATTACCATAAATATGGTCTTATCCAAGTAACCTATGCATTGCTTGATTTATTTCAGTCAATGCACAATACAATGTACAGTTAATACACATCCACGATGTTACACTAATGCAAAAGCTAATGCAATCACATAACTCTCCCTTATCACACTGAAATTTTAAGTATACCAGTACTCACTTATTTTGTACTACAGGTGCCTTATTCCCTCCTAAAGAAGGAAAGTCCATTTCACTGGTTATATTTGGAGCAGATTTTTTACCCATGGGTCTTCTAGAAGGTGTACTGGCAGCACTACTAGATGGCCCTCCCCTCAAACTAGGAGGTATATATTTCCCTGTTGTTTTGGGAGTTTCATCTTTTGGTTTTTCTGGTTCTTGAACTACAACTAAATGATATGAATTTCATGACAAAAGTAGTCAATTTAACATCATTTAATCAGATTATACTAAGTGAATTGCCATGTTATACAGGTTATCCATAGAATTTACAATACAAAGAAATATTTACTATCTCACAATCATTATCTGGTCAAGTATTTAACAAAATGCAGTAAAATTCAGAAAACAAGCTCTTTTAGTTAAGACAAGATATGGGATATTACTACCAGATTAGTGATAGACATTACACTATACTCCAAGTGGAATTGAATTTTACCACTTAAATTAAACAGTTGAAAGGATGACATTAACTTTTAGACACCATCAGTTGCCATATTGATATATATCTGCACAGCCTTTTGAATGGATGTTTCCCATAGTGTTAATGTCATATGTTTCAAATCACATTCAACTTGGAGTTATTAAGGATACACAGTGTGGTTATTAGAATGAAGATAAAATATAAAAAGAAACAAACCAGGGGCCGGAGCAGGAGTTGATTGTTTCCATGGACCTTGACTTAAATCTCTGGTTGTTTTACTTTCACTTTCCACTTCTTCTTTTTCTTCCTCTTCTTCTTCATCTTGCTCTTCATTTCCCTCTTTACTATATATAATATACACCATGATAATGCCAACATAACAAAATCTTTTAGATTATACTACTTTCTGATTACTATTTTTACAGATTAATCATTTTTCGTTGGCATTGAAATAGGCCTGTCATCTACAAATTACGAAAGTGAGTTCTACACCATCTTTGACCAAACCAAATGAAAAAATTATTGTTGGGAAATTGATTATCGAAGGAGGTAAATTTCAGTCTGAAATAATGTGTCACTTACCCTATCTGTAAAGTTTGAATACGCAAACCAGAATAATCTTTTTCCTGTTCATCCTCAAAATCCTGCCAGTCTTCACTTTCCTGTGAAAATAAAAATTATTTGAACCTCATAAATACTATAATAACTCCAGTGTTCTCATACAGAAAAGAATATGAACTGAAAAGAAGCTGATAATAGAACTGATGGGGAAAATACTCTTCAACCAAGGCCTTTTGTCAATGTAACTGACTTCAGCTAATGTTGAAACATGTACTTTAATTCAGAAGTAATGTCACAATACAAGACAACTCGGACCAAAACAATCTCTGCCCACTTTTAAGGGAATTGGACCAAATAATGAATATTTTTTAAGTAAAAGAGTGGTTAACAATTGTTGGTCCGAGTAAAAAAATATTTTTGATAAAAAAAAGTGGGCCGAGTTTGTTTTGGGATGAGTTGTCCTGATTCCCTCAGTAGTCAGTACTCAAGTGTTAAATGACACAGATATTCATGTATTTCGGGCTCTAATTCTAAACATAAACAAGATCAGATGACTTTAATGTTAGGTAGTAATCAGCACAATGTAAAGTTTAGTATGCATTAGGATATAATTTCCCTTTCAATTAGGCCTAAGCTACCATACTTTACAGTTCAATTCATTTTCCCCATCTAAAAATAAAATGAATAGTTGAATTGGAGCCTGTGCTAGACTTATGTGATCACCTTTTGTTTCGTGCCTTTTAAGTCATCTGATAATCTATCTGATAATCCAGCCTGCTTTTCTGTCTCCTTTTCTCTCTTTTGACGTTGCTTCTTTGCATGATTTTCTTCCATTTGTGACAATAATTCACTTGTTGTGGTAGTCATTTTGGACTTAGATTTCTTTTTACTCTTGTCCTTTTTGGCGAAGAAATCATCCAAACTATTGTCGTCAGCCATACTTGCGATATTTATTCAATGAACTTTATTATAAACAGACAAAAGCCGGTAACATTCAGTGCCACAACTCACATGCGACCATTTTCTCACATGCGCATTAATTACCGGAAGTCGGATTTATCCTTATGGATAGGCCCGAGGAAAATAAAATCAATAATACCTATGAAAAAAAGGTAATTTCAACATAAACTAAGAATTTCACTACTTTTAACAATTCTCAGAAATTACATCTCAGATAACTAAGTTTATTCAAAAGATAAAATCAACTTGGAATCAGAAAAAGTTATTTAGTTATTCTAAAATATGGATTCAGATTCGTATTTCAAGATGTCAAGTGGGTAATAATACTAGGTAATTCTCTATGGCTTATTGCTGTAAGGGAAATAACCCAAAACAATTTTTTTTTACCGCACGCATTTCTTGTGTAGGCTTACTGCTTAATTAATTACCAGGCTAACGCCCACCTTCAACTTTATCAGGCAAGATTTTGAATGGTGTCCATGATGAGGGGATATTGTGCAAATTCGACATTTAATCAAATTGATTGGCTGTATTCGATATCATACAATCCAATCAAATCGTTGCATATACAAACTTCCGTGAAACAAGAGTGATAGCTGTTGGAATTGCAATCAACGTATTCGGTAGAGTGGGTGAGGTAAGAGGGGGACGGGGTTAATGCTTCCCATAGAAGAATGGTTTGTACACTGTACCCCACTTTATTTCTGAAAAAATTTTTGTCCCAAAATACGTATCATTATGCACAATATCAATTCTATTTTTTCTCTCATGGGCGCATTCACATATATATTTATGTCGCATTTTTAATCTCAGTCTCGACTGGTGTCATTTATCTCAATTTGGGGCTAAAAAACAACTGAATAAAGTAAGAAACAGTTTATGTAATTGAATAATTTAAAAATTTGATTCGGATAAAATTCATGTTGTGAATAGTTAGTTTGGAAATGGGGCCTATATATGACTTGAACATTTTCAGACTCTAATCTGAACAATTTTCACCATTTATTTCACTGGCTTCACAGTCTGTTTGATTGCTTCAGTTATCAATCTCTGTACACTAAATGTTTTCATTCTGATTGGATGATTATTCAAACAAACCAATCAGAGGTTCAGTATTTCCAAACCAGAATTTAGAAGAATCGGTTACACTAGAATCAAACTGGATTTCTGAACACCAATCTCTAACATTAGATCTTCAATATTATAGGTGGGCTTCAGGTGAACACTTTTCACCTATTCTATTGTTTCAACAAATTCAAATTGAATTCACACTGTGTTCAATTTTAGGATCTCAGCAAAAATTTGAAATATCTAAATTTCGGGTAGGTTGATATAATTTATTTTAAGAATTTAAAATCACACTATTTAGTTTTAATTCCTAAAAATGTCCCGAGTTCAGCTGATCATTGTATTTCTTGTTGATTAAAATCAATAACACAGAAACATTTTGTTTGAGTTTTAGATTTAGACGATTTGAAGGCTTTTCATTTGACATATTATCATATAATATCGAGTGTCCCAGAATAAAAACGTCGAACGTTGGGACAATTTTGTGTGAGTGTGACACCCGATATATTCGACATAAAATTTTCGTACTTTCTTATTGAGTTTGATTTTGGATTTCACTTTTCTTTAAGTACACATAAACTCCATTCATTTCATTTCATTTTAAGTACACAATCCAAATATTTTCTTTCCATGTCCACAAAAATGGAGCAAATCAGAAGATTAGGAAAAGAAGATACAAGCAGTGGCGGAGCCAGGTTTGCGTCCGAGAGAGGGCGAAGGGCGAGATATCTGAGATTGCCCGAATCTTTTACATAGTTATAAGATTTTTGCCCGAAAAACTTGTTTTTGGGGCTGCGAGGATGGGCGGCTGCCCCCCCTTTTGCTCCGCCACTGGATACAAGTAATGAATAAAGTAGAAGATACAGAATATAGTGCAACTACCGTCAATTGGTAATTGTAAGTGTGCTCTTGTTCAAACATGTGAGAATTGTCTGTAAATAAGATACAGAGCAGTATAGTAGGACGTAAATTTTGTTTATTGACATTCACCCATATGCCTAATTTCTTGTTAGGATTGAAATGTCTTTATCTGGGCGTGCAGAGACGGTTGCTCGATAACAAGACATGCATTTAAGACATTGATGGACAATTTGAAATCGATGCTTTTAATTTATATACTGATGATACACACAAAGGATAGAAAAACTTCTCTAAAATTAGAAACATTTTATTTCTTATTTTAGGTCTAGAAATAGGATAGTACTTTTTTGTTTAAAAAAAAACCAGAATTCTGGAAAATAAATATAATTACAGAGAACGGTATATTCAGGTGAGTGATGGAATTCTACTATTTTTAAACAAATATAAACTATATTCTAAACCCAATAGATTATACGTTAGACAAAAACAATTCACTATTCATATTCGAAACCCAATAGATTATACGTTAGACAAACACAATTCACTATTCATATTCGAAACCCAATAGATTATACGTTAGACAAAAACAATTCACTATTCATATTCGAAACCCAATAGATTATACGTTAGACAAACACAATTCACTATTCATATTCGAAACCCAATAGATTATACGTTAGACAAACACAATTCACTATTATATTCGAAACCCAATAGATTATACGTTAGACAAACACAATTCACTATTCATATTCGAAACCCAATAGATTATAGATTAAACAAGTCCAATACATTACACATACCCCAACCCAATACAATATACATACCCCAACCCAACACATTATACATACCCCAACCCAATACATTATACATACCCCAACCCAATACATTATACATACCCCAACCCAATACATTACATACCCCAACCCAATACATTATACATACCCCAACCCAATACATTATACATACCCCAACCCAATACATCATACATACCCCAACCGAATACTTTATACATACCCCAACCCAATACATTATACATACCCCAACCCAATACATTATACATACCCCAACCCTATACATTATACATACCCCAACCCTATACATTATACATACCCCAACCCAATACATTATACATACCCCAACCCAATACATTATACATACCCCAACCTAATACATTATACATACCCCAACCCTATACATTATACATACCCCAACCCTATACATACATACCCCAACCCTATACATTATACATACCCCAACCTAATACATTATACATACCCCAACCCAATACATTATACATACCCCAACCCAATACATTATACATACCCCAACCCAATACATTATACATACCCCAACTATTATTTACAAAAAGTTGCTTTGAAACAAATCAAGCATTAGCTAAACACTCAATTTTTCAACTGTCGAATAGATTTCTTTTAAAAAAATGTTTATTTCTTTGCAAATTTTTTTTTTATCAAGAAATGTCCCTCATATCGTGATACTATCTTAACATATAAAAAATACGCCATACTCATTAATTAAAGTAAGGTGCAAAATACCAAAACCAAATCATCTCATTAAAAAAACTCTAAAATATACAGGTCCTTCTCTATAATGGAACTCTTTACTATTAGATTATCTACTAACATACCGTAATAATTTTTGATATGTATAATTTTTATGCTATCTTGTTTCACAGGGCAAAATTGTAAAGAGGCCTTGGGCCTAATTTTTCACCCTTGTTATTAAAGATTTTTTATTTGAATTATATGAGGTCTAGTCAATTAGAACATGGGAAAAGCGTCAAGTCGTAGGATAGGACAATAAACCGACAGCTAAAGACTGTGCACATTAAAGATCCTTCGACAGTTGGAAAACGAAAAAGGCTTATGCCACTGTCCTGGCAAAATTTCCCTCATTGCGTTGCATGGTGTTGCCCGTCTTCATTAGCCCACGTGGTGCAGAAAGGTAGGACGTAAAACTCCATTCATTTCATTTCATTTCATAGTCAATTAGACGGCAGTCTTTTTTACTTCATGCTTGAGTGATTGTGCTTGCTCATACGCCTTAATAAGTTTAAAGAGTTCATGAACATTGTGCTATGAACATTTCATTTATAGTTTGTCACAATTATAAATTGAAATAAATTGTATCTAATACATTATAATACAGGAAACTGGTATGATTTTTTTTAAATGTCTAACAAGGTATTTCAGGGATAACACCAGTTTGTTTTA